GAGCACAGTTTTGTGTCCTGAGACTCGTACAGCACAGTTTTGTGTCCTGAGACTGAGCACAGTTTTGTGTCTTGAGACTGAGCACAGTTTTGTGTCCTGAGACTGAGCACAGTTTTGTGTCCTGAGACTGAGCACAGTTTTGTGTCCTGAGACTCGTACAGCACAGTTTTGTGTCCTGAGACTGAGCACAGTTTTGTGTCTTGAGACTGAGCACAGTTTTGTGTCCTGAGACTGAGCACAGTTTTGTGTCCTGAGACTGAGCACAGTTTTGTGTCCTGAGACTCGTACAGCACAGTTTTGTGTCCTGAGACTGAGCACAGTTTTGTGTCTTGAGACTGAGCACAGTTTTGTGTCCTGAGACTGAGCACAGTTTTGTGTCCTGAGACTGAGCACAGTTTTGTGTCCTGAGACTCGTACAGCACAGTTTTGTGTCCTGAGACTGAGCACAGTTTTGTGTCTTGAGACTGAGCACAGTTTTGTGTCCTGAGACTGAGCACAGTTTTGTGTCCTGAGACTGAGCACAGTTTTGTGTCCTGAGACTCGTACAGCACAGTTTTGTGTCCTGAGACTGAGCACAGTTTTGTGTCTTGAGACTGAGCACAGTTTTGTGTCCTGAGACTGAGCACAGTTTTGTGTCCTGAGACTGAGCACAGTTTTGTGTCCTGAGACTCGTACAGCACAGTTTTGTGTCCTGAGACTGAGCACAGTTTTGTGTCTTGAGACTGAGCACAGTTTTGTGTCCTGAGACTGAGCACAGTTTTGTGTCCTGAGACTCTGAGCACAGTTTTGTGTCCTGAGACTGAGCACAGTTTTGTGTCCCGAGACTCAGCACAGTTTTGTGTCTTGAGACTGAGCACAGAGAGTTTGTGTCTACGGTAAATAAAAATAGCATTCGTTCGATTCTTCTTTAATTAAATTTTACATAAAACACCTTTATAGTTTCCTTTTTCATTCAAAAGCGGGACGAAGGGCTTGCGCCCTTCAAACGCGTTTTCCTGATATAGAGCAATGTTGGGGAAATATTTCTCTTTTGAAGAAGCATAGCGAGTTTTGGCGGTGATTGTTCAACGAAGATAGGTCACAAATTCATGTTTACAATTTTTGACAATATACTGTACAATGCGACAATCTAGTTGTATCTGCGAAGCAGATATATTGCTATCGCAAACGTAATGTTGCCGTATCCCTAGCCATTAAGCGACGAGCTTATATAATTTAAGCCAATCACCAATTTAAGCCAATCAGCGATTAGTATACATCGATTGTTTACATCGTGCCCGCATCAATGAGCTGCCTAATAAACCCAATTTATCCTTTTCAAAATGGCGGCCTTTCGTGAGTGGGCAAAATGTTTCAAACAATTTCGTTAAAATTTTCAACGAATTGTACCGGTTTTCTATGGATTTTGCATTGTGTCTAACTCTGGGCATTTGTGCTAGTTTAGTTAATGCATTTTTCTTGGTACACGACTCTGAAAATCGGAAATTTGGATCTTTGAATTCCCGTGCACGATCATATATTAAATATACTGAATTTGATTATAAACGAGCCAAAGACAATTGCAAGGTAAAAGGTTATAACCTAAACTACACAACGTAGTTTTAATAGATAACTACTTTATGAGAAGCATATTGGTGTCATATCAATATAAAATTTATGCAGCAACAGTCCCTAATAGTTAGCTGTGGAACGTGAAAACTGTAGTGTGAAATATGATATTGTAATGTCTAATGGCAGTGATGACACCTAATGTATAATGGCGCAATAAGGATAAAAATACCACCGTTCGATTCAGCGTAAGAAATTGCATTTACGGATGTCAAATGTATTACTAAACAACAGTGTTCTAGCGATTTATGACCTTTGAAAATCAAACGAAATTATATTGTTGACAAATCGCTCGCAGTACGTAGGCCGTAGCCTATATAGGATATTTGCTGACTGACAGACAGACAAATCAGTCGTAGTTCGTTTGTCTTTGTATTTGTAATGCCCAGGGCCGTAGGAAGCTCTTTTCGATTGGGGGGGGGAGGGGGCTGAAAGCGAGGGCCGAAGGCCCGAGGAAATTTTTAAATTTAGAGTCTCTAAAATGCCATTTCCTGGACTTTGGGGGGAAAATTTAACAGAATTCTGATAGTCAGAAAACAGCGTTTTAGTATGTCGAAATTTACAGGAAAGTATGGGCCAGACTGTAGTATTATAAATGCGCGGCGGGAATTTTCGTCGTAAATGGCAGTTGCGCGGAAATGAAGGCAGAACATTTGAGAAAATTTCGAAAATCTGGAGTCTCTAGATGGTCCGAAATGGCATTTTCAGAGTTTTCTTTCGCAAGACCCAACACGCAAAAGACAAAATAAATCATTAGTTCATCAAAAATGTGCAGATTTTGTGGGATTTTCTTGAAAATGCGCGACAGAAATTCAGCTAAAATTTCTACGCGAGGAACGATCTGGAGTATGAGTAATATCTTCATTCTTTGCAGTTTGTCACAGATTAAATGATAAAGTTTGCATGATTTTGAAAAAAGAATGATTATTAGCAAATTATTGGGGGGGGCTGCAGCCCCCCCCGGTTGCTACGGCCCTGATGCCTAATGACGCAATACGGATAAAAATACCACTGTTCGATTCAGCGTAAGAAATTGTACTTACGGATGTCAAATTTTTACTAAACAACAGTATTCTAGCGATTTATGGAAATTGTGGCCTTTGTCTTTGAAATGAAAGCCAAGCGAAATCGTATTGACTATTGTTGACAAATCGCTTAATATTATTCAACTAATTATAAAAAATGCAGTACGTTTGACCCTGATAACTTTGGTATCGTTGGTTTTCACTTTTTCGGCCGTATACCAGTAGATTCGTCTCACCTCTCTCTTCATTTTGATAGTCATATTTTTAGCCTTTTTATGTCGAACGTTTTAAAGCGCAGTTTAATCGGGATACAAGGAGAGAGCATGCAAATGTTAGAATAAAAAGATTCACTTAAACGTCATAATAAAGTATTAATAGTGTACATTTATCTTGTGTAGTCCAAATTTCGTCCTATGCTATTCAATAAATAAACTTGATATTCTATCTCTCTGAAAAGGACAAAGTTCCGGTTCCGACCGGAACCGAGTTCCAGTGCACCCCTAACATTGGCAAGTGTAAACAACAAGTGACAGAACTTTTGCTGGTCATATGATTACAATAAAGTTTTGAAACTTCATAGTTTGACAAGTGATAGTTTACTAAATAGCCGGCTGTTGGCTGTATAGACACTTCAAATATTGTTTGCATGACATCTTTATTTCTTGACTGCATAATTATGTTACAATCAGAATCAAATTTATATAAAATTAGTTACATTTTCTCGGCGGGGGCGGGGGGGGGGGCAGTTGTCCTTGCTGCCCTCCGCTAAAGCCTTATTTGCTATTATATTTATTATAATAACAAGACGCTCTATTGAGTGTTAGTCGCTGGGGCTATTGCATATTATGCTGCATGCGATTGAGATTAAGACTGCTATTTGTTTGTTAAGTTTATGTGTTCATATAATAAAATTGTTTTTGTCAAAAATGGGATTCAAGGAAAAATTAAAACAAAGTTCATCAAACAAGTCCCCGGACTATAGACAATAAACAAATTTGTCTAAGTTTGGTTATATCCAATTCGCAACTTTACATAAGTCACATGCCTTAAGGCTGCATTCCAGTTACGCGTTATGAAATAACTAAATTTATAAAAGGACAGCATTCAGTTTTGTGTATGATTTAATGTGTATTTGTTAAGGTTATTTGCACTTATATGAAATTTCAAGCGAATTCAACTTTTACGTGCGTGTACGCACGTGTACGCACCTATGAAACTGGAATGCAGCCTTAAGTATCATTGTTCTGGTGTACTGAAGCATAGAGTAGAGCAAAGATAACTAAGCTTTAGAATTATCTAGCTACATGAATGAATGAATGACTTTTATAGTGTATAGGGCTTATCAAATGCTTAGTTACCTCTGTTCTATTTTATGTGTGAACTACTGTAGAACACTAACTAGGCATGAATATTTAAAGTTGTGAATTGCATAGCAACAATGTAACTAACTTTATTATACGAATTACAAATTAATATGTTCTGTGTGTTTGAATTGTACAATACCTATTGTGAGATAACAGCTGTCCTGAGAGCTTTTAAAATATCATTTGCCAGCAAGGCAAAAAGTTCTATTAAACCCTTGTCCCATTAAGCAGATTCTATTTACATCCA